ATAGGTATGAAAAGGTATAAATAAAATAACCATTTTTCTAGTTTTTGTTCTTCCTTATTTGCATATGAGCAATATGTACTTCCTGACCTACTCTTATACTCAGTGTATATTCTAACCATGAAATTAATCTGTGCTTCTATTTTCTGTTCAACTCTAATGTCTAGTAAATTTCATCATCTTCTTTATTATAAACTATTCCATGTATATTGTGATACTGTGATATTCATATATAATATCTCAAAATGTTTCATATTACATTATTTCTAAAACTTTTCATTGCGTGAAATAAACCAAAGAAAGATAGCAGCAGCAGTAAGAGAAGTCTTTGGGAACTGAAGCATTAAAAAGGTCAGGGGTAATTAAGTTTCCAGACAGGCTATCTTCCCTATGAATACAGCCACAAATTTTAAGTGCCTTAGGCAACAGCAAAGGCTATTAGAAATGTTAAGTCAAAATTTCACATCACTCCCAGTTGTAATCAGTTCTAACTTCTGGTTTCTAAAACTTTCAATTTTTTAAATACCTTTTGTTTGTTAGACATAACATAACCTTACACTTACTAAAAACAATCACTGAATTTAACTTTGAACATGAAGAAAATCTAGAATTGGTAGCAGAAGTGTCCACGGCCAGCGTTTTCAGATTTCTAAATATTTTAGCATCATTAGTTACATACTGATGTTTGACTATATGTATAGGTTATGCCAAATGAAATTTCTAAATAATAATAATACAGCTAGTGTAATTTTTATTTGCTGTGACACAATTCACCCAAGGAGACACAATGAGATTTGAGATACACAGAGAATACTAAATATTTATATATTTTTTCATTATCCTGAAACCCTAAAGTGAAAATTCTCACAAAACAAACTGTGACTATGCTAGAGCAGACTATGAAGATGGTTGTCTGGCACTGCCAGGATTTCATACGGGCAATGAAGTAAGAATAACAGCATACTCTTACTACCTTCTACTCACTAGGATTTATATATTTGGTTTAGCCACATGGGACTGGCTTTCTAGCAGGGGAAGCTCATGACAAGATTTCACTCTACAGGGGGTGAAGGGATGCTGAAGGAGCTGTCAGTCACTGAAATAAGTGTCAGTGGCATGTTTTCTCTTTCTAATGCACTGTGATGCCATTCTCTATGGTGATCTGTTTTCTGGACAAAAGGTAAAGGCAAAGTATAGATTTCATGTAATATATAGACAATAGGTCATTTGGAATAAAGTATCATTCCTGGTTTTCCTTATACTTAAGCAGTCCTCCTTGGAACTATGAACCCTGAATTGATATGTTTTGTTTTCCACCTACCAGTCTAGTTTTGTCTTTTTCATTGACTTTCATTAGAATAACGAGGATGGTTTTGTAACTCTCGTATGGTGTACACAGCTATCCTTGCATGACCAGTCAAGTTTTGTGGCAGAATTTGCAACAACACCTTGAGATGTTTAAGCGTAGGAAGTGAGAAAGTAAAAGAAAATTTGCATTTAGGAAAAATGGATAGACTTCCTTGAGATTTTTGTGAATTTAAAAGGCAAGCATTTTTATGAAAATATATTGTTATGCTCTTTCAAGGGTGGAAAGGCTAAATTATTGGTTTCAATGTCAACATTTCTTGTGAAGAAAAAAAATTAAAGTTTCCAGTATTTGTTTGATTTCATTCAAAGATTCCTGATGAGTGGAAAACCCACAAGTGTTGTGACCACCATTACAAAAGGCAGAAATTATCCTGTGAAAATCCAGGGAAGTACAAGCTGGCCACTCTTGGGAAGGTTATGGAGCAAATCTGTCCGGAAGCGACTTCCAGGCACACATGGGACAAGACAGTAATTGGGAAAGCCAGTATGACTTTGTCAAAGTCAAATGGCATCTTGCCAAATTTGTTGCCTTGTGTGATGAGGTGACTGGCTCAATGGATGTGGGGAGAACAGGGAATGTTTTTTACTTTGTCTTTACCAAGGTTTTCTGCAAGGTCTTTCATTTACCCCTAGAGAAAAGGGTGAGATCTGAATTGGGAAAGGGGATTATACAGTGCGTAGAAAATTGGCTGGACTGCAAAGCTTAGAGATTTGTGATCAGCGATACAAAGTCCAAGTGGCATTCCATTACTATGAATGGAATAACTTCAGGACACAAGTCAGGCTTGGGGAAGAGAAAGCAGTTTTGCAGGAAAGACCTAGGGGTGAATAAAGGCCACACAGCTCAGCCAGCAGGTTGAGTGAAATAACTATTTTCCTCTGGACTTTTGAAACTGCATCTGGTTTGGGGCTCATCGGTACAAGACACTGACAGACTTCAAAGAAGGCCCACCAAGTTGGACTTGGGCTGGAGCACATGGCATATGAGAAGATGTTGAGAGAGCTGGGTCTCATCACACTTAAGAAAGTAAGGTTCAGAGGAGTTTGGTTTTTTTTTTTTTTGCTATCTATAACTAGGTAACCGGAAGATACAGAGAAGACAAAGCCAAGTTCTTCTTGGAGATGCAGAGTGACGGGATAAGAGGGACAAGGTGCAAGACTTAGCAATGGCAACTCCAGCTAGGCATCCTGACACCATCCTGCTTCCTGCTTTGAGCAGGAAGTTGGGCCAGATGTCCTCTAGGAGGTCGAACTTACATTGTTTTACTAGTTTCTGAGTAACTTCAATGAATTTTCATAGGTGGATTAATATCTTACGTCAGAAGGGTCTGAAACAAATCTAATTTATGTAATTTTTCTGTCAAACCCCATTGTTTTTTCAGCACATTTGGATGTATATACAGTCTCTTTTACTTCCATTATTTTTGAGTAGAAGTCTCAATAATGCTGACAATGCATGGCATAATGTGATAGTATTGTATTATATTATCAGGTATCTGGATGGCATACAAAACTTTGATCCAATTCTTCTAAAGATAGACACTTTAACATAAATACATAATTTCATACCATTTTTCGTACCTGAAAACAATATGTGCTAGGTTTATAATCAATTATTTTAAACTAATTTATTAAACTCTTGCCTTGATTGATCTTGGAAAGTTTTATAATTAAAATATGATTTACTATATCAAAGTTAAAAAGGTTCAATGCATAGATGAATAGCAAATAGGAAAAAGTCATTTTGGCCAAACTATTGTAAAACTTGTTTTATAATGTAACGAATCTCCTGTTAATAGGACTGCAAATGGCTGAGTTTTCTATGCTGGTAATTATCATTACCACTGGGACAGAGACCCATCATATGAACAAGACGTGTTACCTGTGTCACTCCAAGATTTTGAAATTAACTGATTACTGATTTTAACCTGTTACATTAGAAAAACCCACCAGAATTTCCAGAGATATAGGTCAAAATATTATATTTAGCTTCAACCTAATTCTGTAAAATAATTTTCAAAATGAGATGTTAAATAAACTGCATAGTACCTAAACACTAAAACATTCACAAAAGTAAATGTGTAAGAAGTACATAACTGCTAAATAATCAGAATCTGTTTAAAGTTTAGTTCTTATTGTTTCTCATATGTATCCAGCATAGAGTCAAAAAGTACAGAAGCAGGAAAACTCCCTGCTCTATAATTTTATCAGTGTTTAAAATGTTGGGTAAAAGATCAAAGCTCAGACCATAAACCCTATCAGTCCTCAAAAGATATTTTTAATAATACAGGATTTTGTAAATCTTAATGACATCTAAAAGCTTATTACAATAAATTTCCTACAAATGCAAGAGTCATTATATTCCCTTTCCTAGATTTTCTTTAAACAAACTTCCATTATATGTAGCTGCACAGAATGTATATCTAAAGCTATGGCTAAACACAAAGTAAGTTTTGATTTGGCATAAAACTCATTTAACTTTGAACCTTGTAAATTAACCCAGTATGACTGAAAACCCACAGTGTTTCACATCTTTATTACCAAAGAAAATAAATATTACTATAAATTACTTAAATATGGTCAACTTTCTGAGTATATTTTTGAATTTGGAAAAGTTAAATTTATTACTGTGAGACCACTCAACTGATTCTACACAAACACAGATCAACCCTGCAGTCAATGGTCTTGGGTGCTGTGCTACACAAATGTCTCTTCTGCTTTCCCAAACATGTCAAACAGAGAAGCAATTCAGCTGCAGCAATGAGCGCAAGCAAATCAGCCAAGACAAACTCCACAAGGTACTAGGCTCTTTACTCATGAGCAATGGCTCTCATGTGCTCCCTGAATGTGTAGTTATGAGGCACTTCCTAACTAATTCAGATGCATTGTCTTCCGAATATAGTGTTTCTAGACATCAACTGGATTTCTGAATTCATGTAAGCAGTGCTCAAAGTGATACCTCCTAGTTGTACAAAGTTTTATTCACACAAAAGTCTTTCCAGCAGAGGACACATGAGGAATCCAGTGGAAAGACCCTCCTAATTAGCATGACTTGATACAGTTGTCATCTGTGGATTTTATCTTTACTCTGCAACGAAGGATCTACTACTTATTTTAGGTTACACTACTTATAAAGGAAACACTATGCTTCTGTAGTAAATGATAAAAACATGCCTGCAATTTAGGAGGTTTTCCTTTTAAAACTTTTTAAGAGGCAGGTTCATTTATGTAGTTAGAAACATCTTATTCTGCCTCTTTATTCTGTTCATGTGTTTTTAAAATGTGAGATACCTACATTTTCTCAGCAATAACTTAAAAGCATATTGTAAAGACAATAAATTACATGGTGTCATCCTTATGTACTGCTAAATAGGAGAAGCATGTCTGGTAGGGGTGAGATTTCCTTGTTTTGAAAAGTCAGCACTGTTGTCTACAAAAAATAGGTAAAGTGACCTGAAGTGCATTACAGCTATTGGTCATACATTCCTATGGTTTTATCTGGACACATGTAAATGTTTTAAGTACAGGACATATTCCAAGAACCAAATAAACAATACAGATGCTCTGCTGCATCATAAGGCACAGTTAAGTAAGTTAAATAGAGTATTTAGTAAGCTTTTTTTTCCATACTGTACCTTTTCGTCCAAAGCCTTGTGGTGCTCAAACAGAGATTTCAGAGCTTTGAGGACCTCAACTTCACTGGAAACTCCTGAAGGAGACTGTGCTTGCCGCTTCACCACTGTCATCCTCAGCGACCTTTCATGTCTTGAGACAAGGCACTCCAAATGTTCCAGTAACAGCTATTGGATTTGATATAAAAGGATATTAATTTTCATGCACCTAAATGCTATGGGAATTCCAACTGTAAACTGCACAGTACCAAATGGCAATTTTCTTAGCAACTTCACTGTAGGAGAGACTACTGGAATTACTGGCAACATTTCATGATTCTAAACCAGATGGAATAAATAGAAAAACATGAAATCTACTCATTTAATTTAAAAATCTGCTATGAAAAGCAAGAACAAGAAATCACTCAGCATAGGGCCACTATTTAAATTAAGTACATATTTACAATATTATTTGTTATAGCAATTGATGAGCATCAACAACCACATAACAACCAAAGCCAGTCTAAAGCATCATGCAAAAATACTAAAGAAGTTTATAATTAATTCACCCTAACTGTAAGATAGTTTCAGTTTCCACTGGAAGTTACTTAACAAAATATGTAAAAGTAAACAGAATATTTTATTACAATTTTAAGACTGTTCATTCTAAATGCCACAGCTAATGGTGTTTCTTACTGGCATGTGATCTAAAATGTTCCTTGTCTATTGAGTTGCAGACAAGATGGAAGACAAAAAGATCCATAATGAGAAATTTCAAGCTATTATAAATACCTGTAAAATAACCTGTAAATAGCCTATTGTTAACTTAATATTATTGTAAAATATAGAATTATTTTTCATGATTACTCTGAGGTTATATGGAAAATTAAAATGATAGTTGATGTATAGAAAATTCCCCATTTGTCTACACTTTCATAGAACTACCATTGTTGTTCTTACTGTCTGAACATAAAAGATAATTTGTTAACTGTAAGGTTGAAGCAGGGTAACTAAATTAATGAATCACAATGCATGTTAAATGTATTGTAATTACAACATACAACTATATCTAAGTCACTGAAGTGGAAATTTGAAGTTATATGGATAGCTGTTTATTATTTCTCCTTCAATGTGTTCTTAACCTAGCTATTGTTAGTTATATACTTATCTGTAATCCATAGCTATACTCAGCCACATAATGAATTTATTGCTACATGAATTGATAGGCACAGAAAAGCAGAACCAGAGTGTAATCACATTATAGTTGCAATGTATTGCTATTAAGTCAGGAATGATTAGGGTTTGATGTTATCTTTTCTTCAAATACAGTTTTTGTGTCTGTGTCTGCAGCCAGTTACTATGTTACAATAACTGTATTATTCACAAAAAGTGAACACGTAAGCAAAATATATTAAGAATTGTAATGACTCAACGCAGTTTAAGAAAGGAGGGTATTTCTACCATTTCTGAATTCAAGTGATGGCCTGTATTTATCAAAAGCAAATAAGCAAGAAACTCATGAGCTTTGTCATCCAATTCCTGTAGGGCTGATTGCAGATACAGGTGGATTTTTAATTGTTTGAGGCAGTCCAAAGTAACAGGCAAATTTATAGAGACCTCTGCATCACAGAGTCATTGGGAACTCGGTATGGTGCTTAGGTAAGATGGTAACTCAGTACTTAAGGACACACTTCATTGCTATCATGCGTAGAACTGAATTTCTAAATGTTGGTCTAAATTCATATATCATCGTGATTCTTCTAGGCTACCGAGTTTATCTAGGAGATAGGTGGAGAAAAGTAAGTAAATAGCTGATTTCTAATGCCAGAACCCACTCACTGCCCCATCTCTGAAAAAAGACTGCGTGGCTGCAACATTCCCTTCTCTCTGCACCCAGACTCTGCCCCATTCCATTGCCCTGGGGTAGCCAGACTCTGGCTCTAATCTATGCTGTGGACTCAAATTTCTCCACAGTGATTTCCACTTGCTGGCTGATCCTGTTAGAGACTGACTTACCCTGCTCTGTTGGCTGTCTTGTATGCCTTTATGTAGAAACTTACAATGCATCATACCTACCACAGTAGGAGTCTAAATGTGGTGAAAATGATATGAAACTCTGGAGAAACCAGAAGAAAAAGGGAAAATGTTGAACCACAGTTGAGCTTCTAGAATGGCTATTCCTTCTGTAAGTCTGCAGTTGTCTGAAGCTCAAGCTGGCACCCACTAAAGCAGTTCAGAATAACAAAATCTTGATAGCTAATTTTTGGACAAACACTGAGCAAATTTATTGTATTTGATACTCTGCTACCTAGAACTACTTATGTTCCAGACAAACACAAAAAAGGAGAGTTCCGAGAGCTTGTATGCAAGTCTTGGTAGGAAGCGAAAATGAGAAAATCTGGTTTAGGGGAAAAGAAAAATTATGGTGACACAGGATTCTTGACAGGGGAAAAACGTCTGTGATAGAAGAAGTTACACATAACCTATAGCACAGAGATAAATAAAGAACATGGGGAAAAAATATACATCCAGAATCATTTTTGAATGGATGTAGACACACAAGAGGGAATTTGAAGTCAGGATGGACAGAAGAAAGACAAGATCCTTGTTAAGAGAAGGAAGAATGGAGATCAAAAAGAGTGATGAAGAGAGAAAGAAACATTAAACAAGGTTTCCAAGTATAAAAAGAGAACAGAGTAGTGGGCATTCAGAGTTTCTAATGGGATGATCATGGAGTTTACTGTATGGCATGAAGAGCACAGCACCCTAGTCTTTTGTAGAAGAGCAGGTAACAGGTTAAGATGCTGCCATATTAGAAACATGCAAAGTGTAGAAAACTAAACCCATAAAAGTCATCCACTAATATTGCCTTTAGCTTAGAATTAGAATTTTAGAGAGGATAAAACTATATTTCAAAGTTGGCATATGTGTCATAGTCATCAAATAAATCAAGTGCAAAATATTGTGTTGCCTATTTTACTTTATGAAGACAGATGAGCTGATGTTACATCTAAGTGTCAAAATACTGATGAAGAATTACTGCACTACCTCTGAACACTTAATGCCTTTTTTCTTTTTTTTTCTTCTGTTCTTATACACTTAAGTTTTACTCAGTTTGGTTCATTTTTTGGTTCATTTTTCTGGAAACTACCTATGAACACTGGAATTTTCCTTACTGTCAGCCCAAAGGCTGCTCAAGAAACATGCTGACATAGGCTTCTGGCTTATAAATTCTGTGAGCACGGCTTACAGCAAATCCAGCTGAGCAAGAGTATTATTAACCAGCCCTCCCAGCGCCTCATTACTGCCAGGCAGCACTGCCAAGTTCATCATCAAATCATGTCCCTAAGTGCAACATCTACACATCTTTCACATACCTCCAGGGATAGCAACTTAACCACTTCTCTGGGCAGCCTGTTTCAATGCCTGATGTCCCTTGCAGTGAAGAAACTTTTCGTACTATCCAATCAAAACCTCCACTGGTAAACTGGAGGCCATTTCCTCCTGTCCTATCACTTGTTACTTGGGAGAGGAAACCAACACTTACCTTGCTCTATCCTCCTTTCAAGTAGCTGCAGAAAGTGATATGGTCTCCCCTGAGCCTCCTCTTCTCAAGACTAATCAACCCCAGTACCCTCAGCTGCTCCTTGTAAAATTTGTGCTCTAGACCCTTCACTAGCTTTGTTACCCTTGGACATTGCAGTGATACTGCTGCTTTATCCAACTTTTGCCCAGACTATGATTATGCTAAAAAAATAAAAAAGATAAAATAAAATATCTTCTCTGCTTCCCTGGGAAAAGCAAACCTAACTACACTGAGAGAACTATGAAGTGTCCCATTGCTACAGTGATGGGGGAAATTAACATTGAAGATAATGTGTCCAAGCAATGTAGCTTAACTAAAGGAAATTGCAATAACTTGTGGGCATGAGGATATGTTGAGGACTTTCCCCCCTCCCAGTAACTCAAGAATTACTGTTCCAAATTATTGGTGAGAATATAAAAAAATTTCATGTTGATATAACATTGTAACAATATTAGTAGCTCATTTAAACTGAAAAAGAATTGTTAGAAAACAGCTTTAGGTATTTTAGTATGTTCCAATTAAACTCTGGCATTAATACAGATCATGGACTACTAAGCATTTTCTGCTCCCTCACACTGTGTCAAGCTGCTATAGTTGTCAAGCACTCAGAGGGACAGGCAGCTTGCAGAGAAAGGAAGATGAACTGTAGCAGGTGGGACAGAATCACCCACGCTTCATTGCTATGCTTCTCCTACTGGAAAGCATAAGCTTGACAATGAATTATGAAATAATCTGACAAGTGAATTTAACTCTTAGGCTGGGCAAATTTTAGGATGCTCAAGATGCCATGCTGATAATTTTATCATAGCTAAATGAGATGAAGTTTTCTGGAAGCCTGGACTTTAAATGAGCATAAAGAATGTTTAAAACAATAATCTTAAAACTGAAAAATGCTCTAATTAATATATATTTTGTGAGTGCATGAAGCCTCTTTAAAACGTTAAGCAGAACTAAGTCAACAATAATAGAGAAAATTGTCAGATTACACCCAGCTTCCTGTATTTCTCAAATAATTTCCAAAGCACTTATGGAAGTGATTGATTTCTGTGAAATGAAAATTCATACTTAAATGTAATGATATAAACTACACCTACCTATGTCACCTACCTATATTACACTACAACATCATTATTACTTGGGCACTGATTTACATATGGAATATAAAAATTTTAAAACATTCTTTTTTAGGAGTAATGACTTAGTAATTTGAAATTAGTGCCACCGAGTAGAGTTGGTATTACTACAGGAGCTGGATTTCAATCACTATAAAATATTTTGGTTTAACTTTCATTACTTTCAACAAACTTATTTGTAAAAAAAAAAAAAAAGGTCACTTCAGGATAATAAATGAAGAAATTAAAGAATCAGGAGTGGGTGATGGACAGAAAAGGTGAAGTATAAATAATGGAACACAGGGAGAAAAATCAAAATATCAGGGATTTACTAAAATCATACAGACTTAGCTCAAGGTTTTCCTTAGAGGAATGGGGCAACCCACTAAGAGGACAATTCTCTTTTGAGGTCCAGCTTAAAATTTCTCACCAGCACAGGCAAAAATTTCCTTTCAGTCTACATTTAGAATGCACATTATTCAGTGAATCTC